TCATGATAGCAAAGAAGTACTAAGAGTAAAACATAAGATAAATACTGGAATGGCAAGTAAATGACCAGCACTTCTAACAGTTTGAGGATAAGATATCGCACAAAGTTCTAGTGTGTTGTGGACATGCATAATGGAGGTCCCCGTTTGAATGAGAGGCCCTTGTCCCTCAGGCGTCTTCCTAGGCTCTCTTCCCACAGCTGCCTGGTCCTGAAGCCACTCCCCAGGAGCATTAGCCTTCTTGACAGATGAAGAGGCAGGGCCTGTGGTAGGCTGCACTCCAGCCTCATGAAGCCCCCGAGCTGCCCGAGCCCCTATGCTCTTTTGCCTGATCAATGGCATCAGCCTCTGTAATGTCACCTGTTCCGGAGGCTTGCAGAGATTGTTCTGTTAGTTTTGTCTGCAGACCATGCTGGCTGAGGCACTGAGTCCCAGGGGAGAGGATGGGTCAGCTGGGGACAGAAAAGGCTACTAGGAATGGCACAGGCAGCAGATGCAAAGTGTCACCTTCCTCCTCGGCAGTGTCTGGACACAGACGTGCCAGGCATGGCCCCCCACCCCCACCCCGATGGCTCGGGTTGCCCTGTCCGGCTGTGTGTCTACAGGGCACGCTGACATAGCCTCATGGGTCACAGGGCGTCTGTTCCCAGTCTGAGCCCAGAGGCAGGCCCAGCCTCTCTGCCAGGCGCGGTCGCCCTGTCCATGGTGCTACCCGGTGGCCGGCAGCACCGGCAAGCACAGGAAGCTGCCCAGGCCCGAAGCAAGCGAAGCGCTCCTTCCTCCTTCCGCCGCCTCCCGCTCGGGGGCTGCCAGGGCTCCAAAGCCAGCCTCTGCCGCGGCTCGCTCTGGAACCGAGGTCTGCACGACATCTTTTCACTGTTTATTTTACTGTATTTTCAGGGAAATAGCGAAGTGTAGAGGTGCTAAAAAGAATCAAGCCCACTTTTTTTGGCTCTTTCCTCCTTGGACTCCTCTTGCATGTGTTGCTTTCCCTGACTCCAGGGCCCTGTCTGTCCCTACCGAGCTCTTGTGGGACGTGGGCAGGGTTGGGGGTACTTGGCTGGTGTCCTGGCCAGACCTGGGCAAACTCGTGAGGCTGATGCCCGCTCTCCAGCCTGGTGTTTTGTGATAGTAATTCTGTGTGCTTACTACCCAGGGATGCAGAACCAAGCCTGCTGGTCTCCTCTGGGTGGGTGGGTGGGATTACCGCATCCGTGATAGCTAGAAATAAAGGACTGAAGCTTCCTTCTACACCCATGAGTCAACTCCTTGTCCTGTGGAGCTGGACTTAGCAACCCACATAAGTGAAATTTGGGGTCTATTTTAGAAAAGATGTGTTTCATTAGCTGAAGCAGAGGTCCCCCGTGGATAGGAGAAACCAGCAAGAGCCCGCTCCCAGGCAGGGCTGGGCTGTGTGTGTGACCAAACTTCAGGTTTCGAAGAAAACTTTTTGGGCTGGCACTTGTGGCTCGGTGAGTAATGAACCACTCGTGAAGCATGTGAGAATCCCTGGGCTCCAGCCTACCACCCCAAAAGAATAAAAGTAACAAAATGTTCATTGCCACAGAATGAAATCCGTAATTTATTTTTTCAAAGTTTGGAAGCTCTTTTACTGTGCGGTCTGATTTGGCAAGATTATTGCAAAAGCCCCCTTAGTCCTCAGGTGGGGACAGCGGCAGCTCGAAGATTCTTTTGTTTCGTTCCAAGTGTTCAGGACGCTGCAAATGCAGCCTTTGTCTCCCCTTTCCAAATTGGTAAAGTTCAGCCTCATCTGTGGTGAAAGGTGGCTGTCACTGCGCTGAAGGTTTCTCCTCGACATGGAGGAGCACTTTGTGTTCCCACCAGCTAAGCTCCTGCTGACTACTCCCCCACCAAAACTTAGGACTGCAAATCCAAAAATGATCTCTTTGGTCATTTTTCCTTTCCACTTCCTCCAGGACTGCCCTTCCCAGCATGCCCCCTACTCTCCGGAGATCCCTCTACTGAGCAGACCCGAAATCTCTTTGGCAGGCAAATGTAAGGAGACCGGGACCTCCGGCTAAGGAGCCCAACATCATGCTAAAGGAAGAGAAAGCAGTGTGATGGGTAGTACAACTCTTCAGCCAAACATTTCAGACAGGAAACACTCAAAATAGTCGCTGGTGAGCGTCAGAATTGTTCTTTAAAGAGTGAATGACACATAACAGAAAACATGGTAATTACCTGTTATTAAATTTAATACCCTGAACAGATGGTGTTCCAGTTTTTCCCCAAATAGATTGCTCACCTGATTAGAAAATTATTTCAAAACCTTTCTTCCAAACTTGTTTAGTCCCTATTTGAAGTGATTTGTTTCCCTTCCTTTGGAAATCTGACTGCAAAATCCTTTCTTCTTTCTTCCCATTAATTCTTAAGGAGTAAAACCCTCCTCTTCTTATTTGAGGTTTCACTCTTCTCTGAACCCCAAACTGTAGGAGAGCAAAAGATTCATTTACTGAAAGGGCTCCTACGTCTTGAAAAGGTTAGATTCTTCCGGTGCTAGATTTCTCTGGGTCACCCTACCCCAACCTTGTCCAGTACATTTCTAAGGCTCAAAATCAGGCTAGGTTCCAGACCCAACCCCACAACCACCACAAGGGCAGAAGCCAGAAGCTCAGGTTTGGCTCTGAGGACCCACAACTCTAGTGATGATGGAGATCTTCTTAAAAACCACAGATGCTTTTGAAGAAAAACGCTCAGAACTTCTCTTTTGAATCCTTGTTGGGACCATGGGATGTATAAATGAACCCACCACACTTTGACTTTGAAAATATTTTATTTGAATAGTAAATATTTATACAGTCGAAACAGTTCTATTGAAGCTTTCTATAAATAGCTAACAATTAAGAAAATAATGTATGTAGAAAAGAGATTGCATTTAAAAGTAAGAGCTGTCAGTTGTACACGGGCCTTGGGGGGCCCTCTAAGCAGAATAAAATGGTAGGTTGTCTGTAATTCCCTCAGAAAGGTATAAAAGTTAAAACTTTGAGCAGATCCCTTTAGAAAAAAGGCTCTCATCTAAAATGCACAGTGAAATGTCGAGAGAGGCAGGGAGGAAGAGCGCACCAAAACAATCTGCAATCAAATAATATCATCTTATAATTAATATAAATAAATAAAGAATAAATAACAATTACTCATAAATCAAAATATACACTTAGAGGGAACTCATAGTCCTACCTCAATAAAGATGATCAAACCAAAAAGCCGTATGCGCGATATTGAGGCAGTTACTACAGCATCTTTTGAAGATTCCCTTCCCTCCCTCCCAAAACGTCCCAGACAGACAACAGTCCAAGGCATTTGCGGCTATACTAAAGAAAACTCTTTTTAAGCAATTTGATTTGTTCACATACAAAAAGGTAAAGCCAGACTCCAGCAGTTCACAAGCCATAATAAAGCTAATCGTGGGGGAAGTTCGATTTACAGCCTGTGAAATATAAAGGCATTTATTCCTCAAGATTCACCCAAAACAACCCGTACGCTACACACACAGAGCAGAGATTGGTAGGCGAGAGCAAACCGCGTTTCTAGACCATGAACACAGTGAATACTAGCAAGAAAAACCGCTTCGCCCAGCGGCGAGGGAAAGCATCCGACCACGAGACACACGCGTACAGCTTTCCTCCCCCTGACCGAAAGGGGTGGACTCCTGCGGCACCACGAAGGGGGACACAACGCAAAACGGGGCTCCAGGAGGAGTCACCACGAGAGGATGGGGTTACCAGCACGCCACACCAAGAGAAGCGAGGAGGACACTTTCACCCGGAGGCCGGACACCCGGGCGCGCTCTCCGTGCGGGTCTCCAAGCGAAGGCACAGTTCTGGGCGCCTGGGTGCGGGTGCGCCCTAGCAGGCAGGACGCACGGGCACCTGCAGGAGGATCACCTGTCTGTTCTCTGACGGGTGGCACTTGTTGATGTGCCGCGTGAGGCCGGGCGAGCTGTAGAAGGTGGCCGGGCAGTACTTGCAGGGGAACACCTGGGCAGCGTGCAGCAGGCGCAGGTGGCGCTCCTGGGCGCCCTTGCTGGGGAACGTCTCCCCGCACACCGGGCACAGATGGCACTCGGCGGATGCGCTCAGGCCGAGCACCGCGGCCGCCTCACCGTCGCCGGCCGCCTCTTGGGGCGCCTTGTCGTCGGGCCCGGGGTACAAGGCCAGTAGGTCCTCAGCGGCGGGTGCGGGCGGCGCGCCCTTGGCCTGCAGCGCCTGGTGGTGCGCCAGCAGGTGCTTGCGCAGATAGGCCTGGCGGCGGAACTTCTTGGCGCAGTGGTGGCACTCGTAGAGCCCATCCTCGGAGCCGGACTCGGATATGCCACCGGGGCTCGGCGTGTCACGGTCGCTGCCGCCAGCACCCTCCCGCGACTCGGCCCTAGAGGCGGCTTCGGGCTCGGGCGCGCGCGCGGCGGCGGGCGCAGGCCTCGGCTTGTGCCAGCGGCGGTGCGAGGCCAGGTTGGCCGGGCAGCTGAAGACCTTGGCGCACTCGGGGCAGCGGTACTCCACGCGCACGATGCGCGAGCACTTGTGCTGCGCCAGCGCAAACGGGTCGGCGTACTCCTCCTTGCACAGCTGGCAGATGAACTCGCCCAGCGGCCGCGCTGTGCCCCCCGCGCGGCCCCGCGGCGCCTCCACCGGGCCCTCTTTGATCTTCAGCCCCAGCACCGGCGACGTGGTCACCTCGTCTTCGAAGTGCAGCTTGCGGATGGCCTTGGGCTTCTTGGTGCCCGGAGCCTTGGCGGCCTTGGCTGGAGGCTCGGCAGGGGGCGCGGGCCGCTTGCCCGGGGGACGCAGCGCGGCCGCCGGGGGCGGCGGGGGAGCCCTGGCGGCGTCCGCACCTGCGGAGAACGCCGTGCCCATCTTGAGCTCGGCTGGCCCGAAAAGCAGCGCGTCGCCGCCGCAGGTGCCGCCCGTGCCCGCTCCCGCACCGCCTGCCCCGGCGCCTCCGAGCAGTGCGGCGGGCGTGGGGAAGGACTCGGCGGAGACCGGCGAGCCCAGGTTGAAGCTGCGCTCAAAGAAGCGGTGCCTCTCGTGCTCCCGGCTCACGGGCCGCGTGGGGCTGTAGAGCGGCGCGGGGTGCGCGGCCTCGGGGTTGCCGAAGTGCGCGGCCCGCGGGCCCGGCGGGGGCGGCGCGCAGGCGAGCGCGGCAGCGAGCACCGCATGGGCGCGCTCCGTGGGCGGCGGCGGAGGGGCCCCAGGGCTGGGCGCGGGGGGCTCGGCGCGGGCGCCCCCGCAGCTCGGCGACAGCAGCGGCGCGCAGTCGCCGTCCTCGCCGCCGCGGACGCGGTAGGACACGGGAGTGGACTTCTTGCTGCGCTTCACCAGGAAGCCGCGGGGCATGGTGGCGCGGCGCGAGGGCGCGGCCGCTCGTTCCCTTCTCCGCCGCCCGGCCGCCCTCAGAGTCCCCGGCCCATGGCGCGGGCGCGGCGGCTTCGGACTCGCGTGGCGCCGGGGATGACGGCTCAGCCCGGCTCTGCGCCCCGCACGCGCGTCCTGGGCCAGGGCCCCGGCGCAGCGCGTTTTTAACGGGGGGAGGGGGCCATTGTTCTCGCCTCCCGCGTCCCCCCAGCCAATCAGCGCGGCCGCAGCTCCGGCGCGGGGTGGGAGGGCCTCGGGCAGGCTGCGCCGGGGGCGGCGCGGGGTCGAGTAGGTGCGGCAGATGTACCTGAGGCCGCGGGCCTGGCGCCCCTCGCCGCCCCGCCCGGCGCCGCGCCGCCCCGGCACACGCCCGGCCCCGCCTCCTTCCCGCTCGGCTGCGCCTCCATGGCGGGGCGCACGTGCCGCGGCTTTGTGTGTCTCCTCCGGGGGGCGCGGCGCGGCCAAATGTGCCCGTCCATCAGCGCGACAATGTGCGCCCCTCCCGCGCGGGGGCTCCCCGCGGGTCGTGAGCGAAATAGCAACAAAAGACGAGAACGGCCGCAAATATGTCAGGAGGGCTGTGGCCGAGAGCCGGAGTGGGGGGAAGTTGTGCGCGCGGGTGGGGGGCGGGCGGAGGAGGGGGTCGCGTGGAATCCCGGGCGGCGCAGGACGCGCGTCCCGGACCTGGCGCCCAGGAGCTTCGAGGGCTGCGTCTGCGCTGCGCCGGGGCCGCCTCGAGGATCGCGCAGTCCTGCGCCGCGTGCACTGTGCTCGAAAGGGAACTCAGATTTTTCTCAACTTTATCTCTTTTCTTTGGCGACCCCGAGGCCTGGGGCGGGCATTGTCGCCGAGTGTCGTCGGCCCGGACCTCGCGCCCTCCAGCCCGGCCCGGCCCCGCCGCGTAGGCCTGAGCCCTGGCCTGTGCCCAGCGCCGGGCGCCCTGAGCCCCCGGGAAGCGGGTTTCCGCCCGCCCGGCGGCGCGGCTCATGCATTTTCATTCCGAGCGGGCATTTTGTCTGCCGGTTGACATCAGATGCTAAATCAAGGGCTCTAATCAAGGCGTGCGGAATAAAGGGGCCGCCTGTCTGGGCTCCCCCCTCCCCAGCCGTGCCCCCTTCACCTTTGTGAAGGAAATTAACCTCCCGCTATTGAGCGCCGGTCGCGGCCAATCTGGACGCAAAAGAGACGCGTGCTGCTGGCCGGGGGAGGGGGGCAATCTGTCCTCCGAGGCAAGCTGCGGCCGCCAAGGGGACGAGCCTTCCCGTGCCACCAGGAAAAGGCGACAGCGAGGACCCCCGCCCGCACCCTGTCCTGCCCAGAGCCCAGGAAACACAAAAGACAGTCTCGGGGGACAGGACCAGCCCCCAGAGTGCCCCTTGGCCCCCAGCGTCCATCACTGACTAGGGAGCAAGTAGTAAAGCCATATAAAATGTCACGTGTTGTGAGCAAAATTGAAAGAGGTGGAAATGCGTTTTTCTACAAAGCTGTGCCCGTCCAGATGGGTTTTTGCTGAGTTTTGCTGTTACTTAATTCCACTGAAGGTATTTAATTGTTTCGGGGTTTCCCTCTGAAAATACCCTGGCAAGGAAATTAAGCATTTTTTCCCAACAGAATCTACATGAGTAATAATAAAGTTGCGCTGGGAACAGTTGTTAGGGTTAGTTAAGCAGGGGTGAGCCAGGAGGAAAGATGTTTGATGATTTAATGTTCGTGATTTTTTTTTTTAACTCCACACTGGAAGAAGAAACACACAATGGATGTATTTTTGAAAAATCTAGTCCTTGGTTTAGAAAGTCTGTGATGAATGCTAGTCTTTAAAAAAGTTAGAAGTTCTAAAATATATTTGTCTAAGCGTATAAATAGGTTCAGTGTGAACGTAACTGATGTTCCTCCCTTGCCCCTCGGAGCGCTGATGAAATTAGAAGGAGGAAAGAGATTCCGAGACAGCGGCGGCCAATTTTATTTTTCTAAGCACGCGTCCCATCTGAGTTGTGAAATAAAAGGGTCGGGTGGGGGCCCGCTGTCCATCCCCAACTATGGCGCAGGTATCTGATCTTCCCCTCATGCAACAGCTAGCAGGGAGTTTTAGTCGCCCTGTGAATCTGTAAAATATAGCAACTTCTCTAAATGTAACGCAGACTCCGGAAGGAGGCCTGCAAACCGCCACCACCGAGATAATAAAAACAAAATCCCTGCCCGAGGGAATTCCTACCTGAATAGCTAGAAAATCTATCGAACGCTATTGAGATAGTTCTGACACTCAGTGGGTCCGTTTCTTGTTTTAATCTCGCCGGCCGAAATGAGTTCTGCTTTCAGAGGAATGCGGTCGAGAGCAATGGAAACTCTCAAGCTACAAGGATTGAGAAACAATTTCAGGACCAAGGGCGGAGCGGGAGCTCGGCCCTGCGCGCGAGCACCGCATCCCGGGCCTTCCCGCCGGGCGCTGCACCGGGCTGAGGGTGTCCATGGCCTTCTGCCTGGGTACCTCAGGTCCTGCACCCCGCGGACATGGGACAGCGGGGCTCTGTCTGCCGCTGGGAGAGCCGAGCACTACCACTTTGCCCCCATGCGGCCTGCTCTGCACCCTGTGATTTGGGGGAGGGGTGCACTGAGTCCGGCTGGGGTAACCTCGGACACTGATTTGCCCCCACCCATGGGCTTCCCCGAGCCCATGGCAGGGGTCCACGTGTGCCTCTCCTCCTAAACGGCTCTTCTCCCCTGCGGGTCTCTGGTGAGTGCTTCGGAGCCTCTGGCCCTTGCAGCCCCCGCTTCGTTTCTTGCTCAGATGGCCACGGAACCGGCGGCCCCGGGTGTGCACGGTTGCCGTCGGAGCGCGCGCGGGGGTCGCTGTGACACGGCTCAGCTAGGATTCCAAGAGGAGACTCGAGGGACTTTCTAGAAAACACTGTGGCCAAGATTCCCGGAGAAGACTTGGCTCTTAGGGTGCCCTGGGGAGACGCCAGTGAGGAGACCTTGGTGTCCCCACACCAACGCCCTTCTGCTGTGGACCCCTCTCCCGGCTTTCGAGAAGCCCCCGCCACAGCCCTCGGTCCCCAGAGCTTCCCTGGCGTCGACATCCCAGGCCCACGACCAGGACCCCGAGGGGCCCAAGCGAGAGAGGCTTTGTGTTTGCAGGAATGAGGGGCCAGGACGTCCTGGGGCACGCGAGAGACACGCGCAGCCTGGCCACCCCGCCCCGCACCCCGGCCCCCGCCCGCACCCCGGCCCCCGCCCGGGGCCTGGCCTTTGTCTGGCGCATTAGCATAAAGCTGCCTCGGAACCTCCGTTCAAATAATTCCACACAAAAGAAGAGTGCATGAAAGAGAGTGAACAAGGCCGAGTCCGAGGGGCTGCCGGTCCCCGGGCGGGAGGGACCCGCTTGAGTTGTCGCCCGAGTGTCAAGTGCCCCTGGCAATCTGCTGCGCGCCCATTGTGCGCGGGCCCGCGGGGTGCTGTGCCTCCACCGGGGTCGCTGCCGGCCGCGCCCCCAAGAAGGGCCCTCGAGGCTGATTTTGCCTTGGTGGGGACTGTCCCTCCACAGGAAGGGCCCAAAGTCCGGAGCACAGCCAAGGATGCCAGTGACTAGAGCAGGACAGCACGGCCGGGAGGCCTCCACTGAGGGCCGCAAAGGGTCTGCCCTCCCGGCCGCCGCCTCCGGGCCACTGTCGCACTTTCGGCCTGGGCGGGTATCCGTCCTCCCAGCGCCTCCCTCCTCTTTGCGGGCCATCTCGGGCCCCCATCCTGTTGGTCCTCTCCTCCATCACCAGCCTCTCTCTTCCCACCTCGCCACTTCTTCCGCGGCCCCTCGCTCTTCGCTGCAGCCCTTCTCACCGCCCCGTCTCCTCCCTCGCCCAGTCTCCCAGCGGCGCTCTCGTCTTCTCCCTGTCTCCCTCCTTGCTCTTCCTCTCCCTCTCCCCTCGCCCCCTCGCTCTCTCCTCCTCACTGGCCAACGTGTGTTATTTTATTTGTCTAGAGAGAGCCTATTTGTTCAGTGATGTGTGGCCTCCTGGTCGCCTGCTTTAATGGGGGACTCGGAGGCTTGGTCTCTGCAGCATTAGCATACAGCTGCCGGCTCTGCGCGCTCTGAGCTTACTTTTTATCCGGGCCTGATCATCACTTCTCAACCAGAAAACAATCAACAGCTCTTAGGGAGACTTTGCAGCCCCTCTGCCTGGCTCTTAGCTGGCTCTGGCCTGCCCCAGTCTGTTTCTGTCTCTGTCTCTCTTGCTCTGTCACTTTCTCCCTCTCCGTTTCTGCTTCTCTCTCTGTCCCTCTCTCTTAATTATTGGTTGGCAGTGTTTCCTCCCCTCTCTTACACTTCACCTCCTATTTTTCTTTTGCCTTCCTTCCTGTGATACTTGGGCATAATAAAACCACAAGGAGCCATTTCTGGAAAGGAGGTAGCCGCACTATTAAAACCCAGCATCTGTCAGATGTTTAGAGGCATTGGTCAGGCCGGGCTATGGTGTGTGATTTGGTGAATAAAACTTTGGAAAATTAACTTAGCTGTTTTCTTGCCAGTGTTCTTGGAATTGCAGGATTCCAGGATCAGGTGTCCAGAGTCCACAGTGTCAACACCACACAGAGCAGTAGATAAGGATTTCAAGTGTTGTCTGTCTTATGTCTCTCTCGTTTTTTTTTTTTT